ACAATGAGCTCAGCCCTCCTGCTGAACGTGCGCGACAGTACTCAGATACAATTACATCAAGCGATCAGAAGCGCACAATGCGAGAGACAGGATCGTTGAGCCCTTGGCTGCAAGGGCACACGGAGATGCACAAGTGGCGAAACCTCTCCAATCTCACCAATCGAATGATAGATGAAAATCGAGTGCAGTCAGGACGCAACAGCGAACAGAGACAAAGGAAAGTCCCCCGTGAAGCCTGCAATCAGCATGATTACAGGTCCAGTGGGGAGTGATCGACTGGGTCAGCACAAATCACCACTGAACCTAGATACACCTTATTAATACCTCGTTCCGGAAAACCTTCGGTACTTTTTATCATTTCTAAGAATCATTTACAGCCGCTGGTGGAAATAGACAACCATAGCAGCGACCAAAACCGGGCCAATTAGTAGTTTGTTCACCGAAGATCAATCGTAATTTAATGTGCGGAATGAAGGAACTTGGTGAATGTCTCCGTGCGTGCTTCTGTAGACCCAGCATTTGCAAAACATGACCAGAAGGGGAAATACCACGCATCTGTTGACCGACTGCAGCCATCCTCTTTGAGTCATATGGCAAGGACCTACAATGTTTGGGGCACCAGCATTTTTTGTTTCTGAAAAAGTAAGTCCTGGTGGCTTTGAGAGCTGGCATATTGAAAAAAGTGGTGTCACGGTGTTACTTGATGAAATAGGTCACATCTGTGCTTATGTTGAAGGCGTGACTAATGAAGAATGCCTAATTCACTACTGGTCGCACAACCATCAGCCTTGTCAACATGTTTGTCTTCCACGGTCTTCGATGATTCAAAGGGGGCTGGTTGAAGCTGTCAACTATTCTCCGTCTGAGTTTCTTGCTGATTTGTGCTGCGCTCCAACCGGTAATTCCTCAGTTGAACTGCAGTCGACAAGGTTGTTTGACATGTGCTGCTCACAAGCACTTGTGGCTTCAAGGGAAACTTTCGTTTCCGTCATTTTCATGGATAAAGTTGCTAGTTCGATGCTGCTTCCTGACTGCACGTGGAGGCCATTGATAGCCATCGATCGTTTGATTCGGTCGCATCGCCAATTGTGCTAATCTGTATGCGCTCACCGAAGAATAAGCATTCCGCTTGTTGGAGCTCAAACGGTTTATGTATCCCACATTCAGAGAATCGGACGCTCCATGCACGTTTGATTTCTTGATTCATATGTTACCGTATGCTGTCATCCCTCGGAGATCAGGATGGTCGGTCTCATGATATGTATTTACTTTAACACACTCAGAGTAGGGTCGAGTGACTATTTCTCCTGTCCGAGAATATAAAGTTTCATTATTGAACATCGGAACTTTGGGCTACTCAACTCGACAATGAAATACTGTGGAGTGAGCGTTTATTTACCGAGTTTACTGCAATAATAGTATGTTTATCAACCCGTTTCAGGGCCGGAAACTGAGCAGACCCTGGTGCTGTATTATCACTCATCCCATGCAATCAATAATATTAGAGTGACAGTGAAGAGTTTTTCTGTTAACATTTGTCCCTAGACAAACACTTTGAACTGCCTTCTTGAGCCGAGAGATTATCCAACACCCTGTTATACTTTTAGGTTGAACCCCGACATTAACAATAAACAACAGAAGCAAACGGAGAAATTTATGGACCAAGGAGATCTCCTTGTTTTATTGGATTTAGACTTCGGAAGTATCTCGTATTTAGCGTAGCATAAAACCGTTCCTCGGTCATGAAGTGTTGGAGCGGGCATAAGGTGGCGAATTCATAAGGTGCTGCACAGTTCCAGAAAGGTCAGTGTTTGGTTGGGCGTTGATGAGTTTGCTGTTGCAAATTATTTCTGACCGCAATGGAAGCCACAACAACACATCCGTAATAGTAATTTCCCAGAAGAGAAAAGCGCTACACTCAGCTTTGGTGCAACTGGAAGTTCCCTTGCCGGTTGAAAGATCTAGGGACTGCGTGCATAAAATTAACTGCAACGATTGCAGTAAGGTTTACGTAGGACAAACTGCCAGGGAATTGCACACCAGAATTGGTAAGCTTAAAGGAAGGATAAACAAACCACAAAGGAATGCAGAAGAATACAAAACGCTGGCCAAAGACTCAGCGAGGGTGGTACAGGACTTAGACATGGAACATAGAATAGATCTGGAGAATGTGGAGGTTTTAAGACGAAGAATGCGATTCACATCACAGCAGCTGATAACCGAGGCAGTGGAAATTACTAAACATCACAGCGTGAATTAAATCGAGGGTATGGAACCGGCGAGCGTATGGAAAGCGGTCTTAGATAGCCGAGTTGGACTGTCTTAGCACTAGCTTATCCACTCAGACGGACAGATAGTTCAAACGACGTTCAAGAGGGAACATCAAATGAACCGAACCAGAAGAACTAGACCTTAGGCTGGACCCAAATACATGTAGGTTCCCCCATCGACCCAACACTTCTTCACCCACCCTAACACACGAAAATCCCTCGGCCGTCACGCAGCAGAGATTTAGCTTGGCATTGCTAATTGGTTCTCCTTCTGCCTTAAATCTCGATTAACCTCGGTCACCTGGTCACTTGGCCTGAAGAAGCTTTTGTGTCAAAAGCGAAACGCTGCCCAGCTATAAATCTACCTATCTTCATCAAACTCTTTTGAAATCATCTGTAATGGTTTCATCTATATTTAAACTTTAGGCGTCTTCCCTTCTTGGAGTGTCTTCCACGACACCAAATGTATCCTGTGCTAACTCGTAACCAAATAACTTAGCACATAGGACAGACATGAACTAGTCAGTCGACGTGCTTCAGGCAATACTAAATTTTTTCGCATCAAATTCGAGTAACCTATGTGTCTGTTCCTCGGGTATGTAAGAGGAGATCTTATCAGCCAGACTGAGAAAATATGGTGAAGATACGGGACTTAATTTCAGATGAAAAGACAGTCTCTTGGACTGAACTGGAACAAGCGACCAATAATATGCCGGAAGGATTCAATATATTTTTTCTGTACACCATTTATTTCGCGTCAGATGACAATTGACCGGCAGTGCTGAGGGAACTAATGTGGAAAAAAATCCTCTGCATTACATTTATCAAAATCGTATTTTATAAAATGGTACGAACTTCATAAATAAGAATGAAACACAGTAACCTAGCCAATACTCGGCTACCTAAAAGACAAGTAAAAATTTTCCAGTACTCTTCCTTAAGCTGCTCAATGAGGTTTGTTCTTTAGGAGATTATTTTTTTGAGCCAAGTTCCAGAGTGCGCCGGATCACTGTGCGCGAATTTCGTCCGGAAATTCACTTTCAGTTGCAACGAAATATACATATGTAAAACGGGCCAGTGCCTTTCTTGGCCGATTTCCGAACACTTATATAAAAGACTGCTAAAACCTGCGCATTTGAGAGATAACCGTGTGATAGCAACGACACATAACTGGGACTGATCGACTGGGTAGCAAAATCTATAAGAGAAGCTTTCAAGATTCAGCTTTGCAATCAAAATCCGGAGCTATCTGCTTCTTGTGGAGTAATGTTAATTAAAACATTTTCTACAACACTATAAACGAGAGATTCAGCTGGGTTTCAGCTGAGACTCCCGTCTAAACCAAATTCCCTAATTTCAAGCAATCTGGGTTCAAGTAGAACATAGTGCTGACGGGAACCCGAGGACCACGTCTACTTGATGTGCCTCAAGAGAAGCAAAACCGGTTGTGGGTTGTCGAAGAATCTTCAGAAATCTCGTGAGTAGTTCATTGTGTCTGTCAATGCAGTGTTTTGCATCTGCGAAGGATCAAAGTAGCTTGAAATGCTAACCACTCTTAAGTTGTTATTTCCTTGTTTTGATGGGGCAGACCGAAGTGACCCAATGTTTCAATGTTCCCCATTCTGTGTGAACACAAACGGCAGCTCTGAACAGTGAACAAGCATTAAGTGTGTTGAAGTATATACAACGGTAGCCGGAGAACAAATGCAGGGCACCAAAATTACCGATGCGTGTTTGTGGACTGCACTCACGATGGATTGGGAATTTTTCGGAAGCTCTTTTAGGTTTTAGATTATGCTTCTGATGAAAACTGGAGTCAGGGGAAATGTTTTCAGAACCACAGGTAGGTTCGGATTGTGCTTCGGTTTGTTTCCCATTTTTGCTTTCCGCAGGATGCATTTTCATCAAAATTATGTTCCATTTCGAATAGAAGCAGCGTAGGTAATTTCAAGAATTTGACCCACGTTCTTAGCAAAGTCCAAGGGATTCCTTCCAAGTCGCCTTAGTATTGTACTGAGGGATAACGTCAGCTTTCTTTTTTGATTATTTTATCGAGCGAAGCCAGTAACCATCTTCTGTTTTTCCCGAGACAACCGGGATTCATTTTCCAAGCCAGATATCGGTATTTCCTTCTATCACTCGCAGACATCCTGATTGGCAGAGCTCTGGAGGCTTTTGTGATCTTTCTACTAAAAAGATTTATTGGATATTTGCATTCTAAAACTTGCGATCATTAGGTTACCAATAAAGACTCGGTTTTCGATCTACCATCGAATCGCAAAATCTATAAGACACAATTGTTCGATGAACTGAGAGTCTGGCAGACGTTGGTTTCCATACTTGGTGCATGTTCTGTGCTACTGCCCAATGTCAAACAAGGAACGCTGTTGGCCTGCGTGCAGAGTGCATCCGATCTGTTCGATCAAACTTGCATCAGTCACGTTTATCCGTCTATCACTCGACAGACCAGTCTCACTGAGACCAAACAAGTGGTGGCGTGTAATTCAAAGACTCCACTCGAACTGGCCATGCAATACATAAACCACATTATTTCTGCGTGGTTGCTTTTTACAATAAGCCCATGGGGAGCGGACGCGTTGATACCCAAAGTTTGTATGCACAATATCACTGCTGTTGGCGGAAGTGGTGTGTGTTGTCCGATTCCCAAAGGAGCTATTCACCCCTGTGGTGGAGTTGGCATAGGAACTTGTCAACGGCAATACATCCAATTCGAACAGATTCCCAAACATAATCTTCGGGATGACCGACTGCATTGGCCATCGAGGTTTTTCAAATACACTTGCCAGTGTGAAGGAAACTATTTTGGCGTGGGCTGTGAGGAATGCTATTATGGATGGAAAGGTCCATTGTGTAATAAGCGTGAGAAGGTGCTGCGGCGAAACGTGATGTCCTTTACGAAAAAGGAAAAGCGTATGTTTGTTGACATTGTAGCCCACATGCCTTTGACATACACTGACTATGTGATTATACACGAAGGAGACAGATATCACTCTGACCCATTGTGGAAGCCTAGGTTTATGGACGTTCATCTGCAGTATCTGATTGCCTATCTGCACGAGTATGCTAGTCGGGGAACTCTGTACAAGGATGATTTCAGTTGTCGTTTCCACAAAAAACTTGACAACAACCATCATGTATTGGGATTCGCAACATGGCACCGGTACTTCATGCTGGTTTGGGAGAGGCAGCTACGCAAAATTGCGACCGAATTATATGGATGGAGGGATTTCGCCGTCCCTTACTGGGACTGGGTTGATGCAGACAAATGCGAAGTTTGTGTAAACAGTTTGGTGGGTGCTCCCGGTCCGTTTGTCGACGGGATACGTTTGATCCACCGAGACAGTCCATTCTCGAACTGGACGGAGCAATGTTCTCCCCCTAGGTCTGGTGGCAACTGCATTTCGTGTCATTCAGCCTGGCCAAATTTCAAACCTTTGAATCGACATTACAAACAAACGGCATTCCCAACTACCAGAGATTTGCAATTCACCCTCAGCCGTGGGTCGTAAGTAATCGATTTTGGTGAAATTCACGGCGTTTGCGGTTACTTTGTGTGCTAAATTCTGAACCATAGAGACAACGGTATAGGGGATTCAGATTTTTGCCTTTTCTCTGCCAAGTAAGAATGTCTGTCTTTTAGAGACTTGACCTGAATTTTCAAGTTTCAGTCTCATAGGTGCTCTTTCGCTTAAAGAACAACAATCACTTTTTCTTTTGCTACGAAGGTCCTGATATTTCTTGGTCCGCCTACTTGCAATGTTCACACCAAAACGGAAAAACCTGGTGACCTATCTCGTGGTTGATCTGATGGTTGTTGATCTGCTTGCCGAGCTTGGCACTGGATTACAAACCTGGTGACCTATCTCGTGGTTGATCTGATGGTTGTTGATCTGCTTGCCGAGCTTGGCAACTGGATTACAAACGTATACAATTTTGTAATATTAGTGACCCGTCCATGATTACGACTAGCCAGTCATGTGGGGAACCTTAGATACTCTTCAAAGACTATATAACCACAGCTGGGCGAGGAGGAGGCACCACCCCAAGTGCTCACTGACGATGTCTCCTTGACTGGGGACAAAACGTTCGCGAGCCAATGGCGAAGCTCGGTGAACAGGCAGACGGCCATATGATCAGTAAACAAGCCCCATCTACCAATATGTTGAAACACTGACAACCAGCGCCCTATCTTTTGACCCCTCAGGTTTCCAAACTCTGATACACCGCCAGAAAGTGAGCATACACGGTGACCAAACAACGCGCCGTGTAACGATTACACTAGTGTGTATTCGGAGCATTATGCAACAGAACCCAAATAGAATGAACTTGTAGGACGAGGAAAATCGTTTGTTCTAAGGTATGTTCTTTCTATTCCTGATACTTTTCAGCCAAATATTACGCCCTTCACCACCATCACACCACTCAGTAACGGGAACCTGCGAGGAATCAGTTAGCTATAAACAAATGTGTGGTTTATTAGGTAGCCTTGAAAACTTCAACCAATAATAAAATGGTAACGATGCGTGAACTGATATTCGATCACTGATAGTTGCCGGGCTACTACGATTAACATGGCCGAATCTAACTCATAACTGCACGGAATTTAGCATTCTCTGATGAGACATTCTTACATGACGCGTGACTGTATCAAACGTTCTCTTCCTTCTGATTGGAAACCGAATATATATTAAATTTTAGTGATCCATCAGACTGGATTCCCTCACACATCCACATTTATGGTATTAAACTGGGTTTACCGTGTACCGGTCAATTAGTCTAGACATTAGTTGTGTATTGATAGACCCTGAGCAGTTAAATTACATATCAAAAACTGGCAAAAATATCCCACTTAGGATTGCCCTCATGGGGACATTAGTGATCCCTCCCATAGGAATTACTTTGGGAAAATGACTACTTCCTTAGTATTTAGGCGCTAAATTGCCTGACTTTCGCACGTAAAGTGCACGTGAATTGTAGAAACTGCCTCTTAGAGGTCCCGATTTCTTGGCATATCTGCCGGCAGCTTTTGGTTCATTGTACAGAGTTAACCGTCTGGAAATCTGAAAGTATTTCGAAAGCGAACACGGATCGCGTACACATTTGATCTCTTGGGCTTCCGCATTCGCTGTTAGGAAATAAAACGTTCCATATCGGTTGAAATTCCGACTTTCAGCTGATGTTACGTCACCTTAAACGGCGTTGCGGTCAGACATTTTTTATCACGATTTCGAATGGGGGTACTCGCTATCCAGCTGCTTAGGCTCCATTGTAATGAAGGTACCCTGGTCCAGTAAACATTGTTGTGGCAGGAAAGCACCACTATCTGCTAATATTGTTCTGTCACATGTATATGTACATACAGCGAAGCAAGCGGACACCTTAATATGGAGCTAATACCCGGGTGAAGATGCATGTCCGGTCAGCAGAGGCTTTTTCAGCGGAAATGGGCTGCGGAAACTTCAAGCGCATTGCAGTTGTAAGTAGTCTGTTTATCAGTACGCCAACGTTACCGATAAGACATTTAGAAATATCTCGTGTACGTTGAAATCAGTGAAACCACAATCAAGGTGATAAGTAACACACACCCGTGGTATGAGGCAGTAGAATAACGTCACTGGGAACCCGCCATTGATTTATCTAAACTCAGTTTTCGGTGGACATCTACAGTTTTTTGTTCATAGACTGAGTTTATCAATACTTTCTCTTATGTTCCAGTTTCTATCTACCTCAAAAGGAGGAAGATGACAAAAAATGCCGCGGTTTTCATCAGGCACTGGAAGGCTTTTGTTCAGCTCCTGGAACAAATGAAGAAAACCTATTCATGCACAACAAAGTTCACAATATGGTACACGGAAGCTTCTGTTGCGCTAGCACGGCAGGTAATGATCCATTGTTCCTCCTCCATCACAGTCAGATCGACCGAATAATGCAGGTAATGACTTGAAATTTGTCACCGTTTCTTTCCTGTTTGCTTTCCTAATCGCTAGTAACACTAGAATTGGAAGCCATCTATCCGTGTGGCATCAGCTGGGTACTTAATCCAACATCGTCGAAAGTGGGAAGGTCACGAAATTCCTAGGTTAAGTAGTACTATTGGTGGTTCAATGAGACCTGATATAACAAAATAGCGGCGCATTTCCAGAGGGTCTTTCTCCAGACAGGCACATCTGTGGAGTCACTTTTGGTAAACGAGACGGTTCTCTTCGATAGGTGTGCGGGGAGTTGACCCTGACACACATGCACACAAACACAATGAGTCAGACGATATCGCCATTAGCAACTAAAGCTTGTTTTCTGACTGATCCTCTCAACTAATACATCACAAATTTACACGGTATCAGAAATCACGTAGAAAAAGTTTGTGAAAAATGGAGGTACGGTAACATTAGTGAAAGAAATGTGAAAATAAAAGGAAGGAGGTTGAGCGAAAGTCACACCGGTCACTGGGTCACGGAATCACGTAGGTGGCGTCAATATCAAATAAGTTCGTGGGACCGGATTTTTAGCAGGCCAGTTCAAGTTCAGAGATCGCATAGGCTTCCTTTTAAATGCGAAATTGTTGGTTCAACAGTCGCCTCTGCTATCCATTGCAGTCAGGATCGGACCAGTCATGATCCGTTTAGAGGTAACCAGTGTGCGATATCGAGGGCTTTATTTTTGTCGATTACATGACTCGCTTCGACCAAATGTGAGCAGTTGCACTTGAGCTCGGTTCCTTCCAGCCGACACTCTGAGTCATGGGATTAGGCTCCCGCATTCTTTCCAACAAATGCATTGTCGTACAACCAACGTAGATTCCCGGCGCAAGCATACGAGGACACACAAAAGCTGGTGGTAGATCACAGCAGTTGAGCATTCAAACGGAACCTGAGTTTGCGGAGTTTCCAAGTCTTCTGAAAACTAGTTCAGCAACCGAGTCACCTTTGAGTGGGAGCCTCATGAGACAGGGCTCTTCTCACCTGGACACTGTTTATCTTTGACGTTTACTGATTGCACGGTCTTGAGTGCGAAATATTCAGCATATGCGCCTCGCATGAATGTGCGCAATTCTCTGTGCATGTAGACATTGTGTTAAATTGAAGGATTTATAGGAGGTTTCTACGCAGAGAAACATAGTGGACCATATGCTAGTGACACCATTAGCCCAACTAAACAGAACGCTCACACAATAGACTACCGCTCAGCCACACTGCCTTTGGGCGGCTCTCTGAAGACTCGGGTGTTCCCTTTCAATGGATCATCTAGGTGGGTAGCTTTTGCTCGAGACGGAGCGACATAAAGCAGCCAACTGAAAGGCGCCGGGGATGGTCCCGAACTCTGGTTTTCCGAACACAAATCATTCACGTTACTCACTAGACTACTCGAGGCCATGAATTCATTCATGTCACCAAGAATTTTGGGTGGCATTATTGCAAGATGAGAAAGATTGCTAGCGCTCCTGCCTGGGTGAGCACATCATCCGTTTTATATAAGCCTATTCCATCCTGCGGACTGGAATTCTCATCTACTATCAGCATTGCAGTGGCTTGAAATAACCATGCAGATCCTGCGCGTTATACCGGGAAGGGGGGACAGAGCATATAGCGGGATATAAATAGTGGTCTCTCATATGGGTTTCCATAGTATTTAGTATGATAGAATATTCCAACCTGAAGAAACGTCTAAACTAAAGAAGTATATCTCATTGTAATATTGCTTAGTCCATGGTGGTCTACACTTTCACACGCTTTCTTACCACTGCTTCTAACAGGTCTGGTTCGAGCACTACCGTCCAAGACCCACGGAATATCCAAACCACGGTGTAGACCTGGGAAGTTGCCGCGAGTGTAATATTATTGGGTTCATACCGACCATCCGACATGTTCAAATGTTTGTTGATCTTCGTCAGCTGGGCATCTACTATGACAATTATCACTTCGGGAAACATGGCTACCACGGAGAAGAGTTCATCAAACATGGACCCTCTTACTATAGGGATTTATGATTAGAGGGTCCATTGTCCGAGCCTCATATGCATGTCTACCTAATATTTTGCGTCATCAGTAATATAATACATTCCTTATAACAGCACGCTGGCCATTCGTCACTCGCTGGCACTCACAGCGGGTTGTATCATGTGCATATCCTCTCAATATACGTCGTTTGTAAACAGATCAGGCTACTTCTGTCATATCAACCGGCAACCCAGGAAGTGTTTTCACTTCAGAAGTGGTGTTGACAGTAGAACTGTTCTCCCACCAGTAAGCTACCCCTGTTGTGACCAATGAACCTCAGCTGACCACAATTACCTGGTGGGTATAGGGAGACCCGAGTTCCCGTAATTGAACTTATGACAGCTTGTAACCCAACCGATCGCAATGTAGCGGGGAATTTGTGTTTTCGACAGATCAAGGCCTGGATATGCAGGTTACATACAAATTGAGACTAACTGGTTTCAGAAGCTAAAACTAGAGCCAATTCTCAGTGCAAATGACGTCATGGGTCTATAACTACGTGTTCTATCAAACATTTCATGAGTTTCAACATAACCATTATCCAACAAGCCTAGTTTAGGGCTCACATTTTCACCCTCTTCGCCAAAACAAATGCATTTTCGCCACACTCACTGTTCTCAAACACCGCATTATTTGTTCATTCATTTGCGTAGCTTTAAAAACTTCCTGTAAGTGCCTGGAGCACCAACTGCCTGTTAGTGCTACTGTAAGAACTCTACTCAGAAAACTATTCCACGGAGAAGCCAAACTGAGAAACAGAACATAAACTGACGCACTCGCCCGCGACTTAACTGTTGGGGAGTGGTATTGGTTCAGAGAACCCATGTTTCAGGGCCGAAACTAAAACCAGGAAAACGCTGTTCGTGCCAACGAAGTTGTCCCATTTGGCGGCACAACTGTATGTTGATCCAAATCATAGCGATAAGTACCGGGGGCGAGATGGCTCACGTGGTTAGAGCGCGAATTTACTGACCGGAATGTCCGTGGTTCTGACCCGACTCCTGCCTCTCGACTTTCTCTGCCTAGGCTTGGGCAACCTGGCAGTACCCCAGCCCTCGTGCTTCCTTTGAGTAGCATGGCAGCTAGGCACCGGGTGTTACAGCTGAATGATATGTACCCCACCTATCATTACCGAATCTCGGTGAGAAGTGTACCTCTCCAGAACACAGGCCACAGTTAATACAGAAGTGTAAACAGAATCACACCAGTTGAGTTGTCTGAGGAGTGTTCAGTTTTACCTGATCTGTAAGTCTGGTAGCAAAGATAAATTTCTTCCAGTTTATCCTCTGCATGAGATCCCTCAAAGCAATTTGCGAGTTGCGCTGTGCACACTCCAACTTCTCAGTCCAAACTAATCGGTGTTGTGTCAATTAGCGACCAACGCTAAAACACTTCTTATTTCTCTGATATAGACAGCCGCCGAGACTAAAGCAGACATGGCAGTAGCCGGGACAGCTCAGCAAGCGTGTCCTTTACTGAAGTTCAACACTGGGTGACGAAGTTTAAGAATTTATTGCTTATTTCTTTATAATGGACTCTGGGTAACCGCATTTTATATGAGTGGAATTTCACGTAAACATTGCAGATTATGCGAAGAATTGCCTGTTTCCACGTGGTCTGTGCGGCTTACCTATGGGAGCATATGGAACCAGTAATCAGCTACATTCACGATTAAATGTCGCAACTGACCAGACATTCCTAACAGACAACTAGCATCCATAGCAAAAATTTGGAAAGGCCCACGAGAGCACCTGCCGAGTAGCTGGGTTTTAGTAACAGAAAGCCAGATTAAGGCCCGGGTTTTTTTTAAATGATTGCCATAAGTTCCCCCTGTGGAGAGAGGTGGTGACGTCAAATAAATAAACGGAGTTATCAGGTGAAGCAAATCGTTGAACATATTGGAAAGCAGTGGTGTGCAGGTGTGATATATTCTGAATTGAGGTAGTCGAGGTGCTTGTTTCTTTTACTCCTAAATTATTTACGGGCAAACACTAATTTTGGGTTACTAAACAATGGAGAAATCGATCAGCATTGTTTATTGAATACATATTCTACAAAATTACATATAAAAGACCGATGTCGTCAAACAGCGAGCTTGAGAAAAGTATGCACGATGTTTTTTGAAAAAAAAGACGAAAAAAAGGTTCGGGGAATACTCGAAAGCCATAAACAGATAAAGACAGGAAAGGCATCAATCCCTGAGTGAAGGGTTCGATGCATCACGGAGATGTGTGAATGGCTCTAGTGAGGATAGGATTTCGGAAAAGGTGATCCGGCTGCTTGGTTCGAAAGACCAACACCGCAGCATGAGAGTCTGGCTGCAAAGATAAAAAAAACGGAACCGACAGTAGAAGGTTTACTCTGAATAATGAGAAATGTTAGCGAAAAACGCGACCGGAAATTAAGTTTGAATCAAACAACATAGTTATTCCTATTGGATAACAATGGTGGAACTTATCGTATGCAATGTCCAAGCTACTAACCAAGAATAACCATCAGGGTCAGGTGGATGGATGGTCATGCATCCGACCTAGATAACGACTGCAGTAAGCGAACACGAATTGCCTACACTGCTAGCTTAATGTTAGCCGCATTCAATAAGATGCTTAACAATTTGATTGCAAACCAATCGAGGTGACATCAGTGCGTTGTTAGGGAGCGTAGTGGAGCGCAGCGATTGGTCGGTGGTTGTGACCACGTGATGTAAATCGCGTTCATGGAGGTTTAATGAGTCTATATTTCAAGTACGTATCAATTATATTGCAGATCAGCAGTCTGTGGCCGAACGATGTGGTCATCAACTATTTAGAGACATGAGAACGAAGAAGGTAGTGAACAAAGCTTGTTTTCTGTGATTGTTCATCTTGGCTAATACATCACAAACTTATATGGTAGCAGAAATCACGTGGAAAAGGTTAAGATCGGGGCTACACTTTAGAGAAATAGAATTCAAAGGAAGGGGGTTGGGTGAGGGGTAGGTCAATGGGTCATGACGTCAATGTCAGACAGACTTGTGGGACCAGATGTTTCGTAGGCCAGTTCAAGTTCAGAGGTCTCACAAGTTTCTTTTGGATGCAAAGTTGTGGATCCAGCAGTCGGATTCCTATCGCCTCTGCGATCGATAGTAGTTTGGATCGTACCAGTCGTGGTCCGTTTGCGGTTCAAATCACCCTAGACATTCGAGGGACGCGCACTGCTGAAACAGCAGTACAGTGATTCCGGGCTTTTTGGAACGGACAGATTTCACTTACAGAACGAAATCTTGGGTGAAATTTCGAATCGCATAGCATTAACAAAAGGTAAACGCATCAACCGGTCGAGAGAACGGAGCACCTCCAGTTTTTACGCGCACAAGATTCCACTGGTACGCACCAAAGAGGTTCAAAAGTCTTTTGCAGTGCAGCATATAAGTCTTGGTCAGGCATTCGCTGTCGATAACAGCCAAGTTTACAACAAAAATTGAAAAAACTTAAAAACAACGATGAGTGCGGGTGACGAATAATCCAGCGAAAGATGAACGGGAGCTAAAAACGGCAATTTAGCACAGGGTTCCATTTCTGTGTTCCATTTCTTTGTACTTATGAACTCTATATGTTGACAAGGATCAAAATAATTTATCATGAATAAAAACAATGGAAATCTCTCAAGATTACTCACAGATCCGATGGTAGCCGGGTAGGCCACTGGGCAACCTCTAATCTACCACCACCGGTCACATGCACGATAACTTCCTCATGAGAAAGGCCAGAAAACGGTAAAGCGGCGAATGTTACGATCTCCCAAATGACAACGCCATAGGACCTGTCAGAGGTTAGAAAAAACTGTCAATAAACTTTGCAGAATAAAGGGTGTTCCAGAAAGCACCAATTACTGAAGTTAACTAGGGGTTTCCATTCTGCAGAACGGACAGGAAAAGTACAGGGTGCAACATAAACTTGCTCATCAGCAACCTGGTTCGGACTAGGTTTGTACTAAATGGTGGAGGGCGGTTGTATTACATTCCTCGTTCTATTGCATACGACTATTAGCTACCGAGAGTACTGTCCAGGTGCGCTTATAGTCGTCCATCTAGCCGACACGTGATTTTATGCGACTCTCATTTACCTTGACTGAGTACTGTTGACTCTGGTGAGAGGAGAAACTGCTTCAGCTCTTACACTTTACTAGGACTTGATAACAGATGAGATTCCATGAGCCAGTTGACAGTTGTATCTCATATGCGGCTGCCTAATCATTGAATAGGACCAGAATCGCTTCGCTGGATACAGGTGTTACTCTCATCCACCCAATCAGGTGGATCTATCTTCAGAGACTCACCGCCAACCATCAAAGCCCCTTCCACTTGGTTTGGCTTGCCTGCCAGAGCAACAGGTTGGGGGTGTGACTACCACCAAAAGCGCAAAGTAGCCAGGCTTAGAACAAACAAAGAAGCTTTGCGAAAACACGTTAAGTAAATGGATCGTTTGTACGTATATTTTATCATTCCTATGGAAGTGAACAGGACTGAGGTACTCGTTCAGATTACAAACTAGTCTGATGTTTACTGGACTAATTGGAAAGATGTGCATAGCTGCGGCAATTCCAGATGCAACTCAAAATGGATTGGAGACTACAATATTCAGACAGGCGGATGTATGGAAGTAATGCCTATGAAAGGTAATGCTCCTTTGTTTAGGATCTTCTTAGGGCACCGCATCTATCATTTGTGATCATATTCGTGTCAGGTGCAACTGCAAGTCTCTGCAAATGTAGCAATACCATCAGAGGTATATCATCATTTATAGCCGATGTTAACAGTGGGACTAAATTACTCCGAAAAACAAAGGTTCTTGTAAACGGAAGGGAGCAATGCGCGGCCTTTTGCTATGGCCTGATAGGTATTCAAGGATCAAGGTACTACTGACCATCTTATGATTAACCAACAGTCCACAATGTGGTGTACATCGAGCTCACTATAAAACTCCTTGACTCATTAGAGCGATTAACTTTCACGTGCCATCCTGTGGCAGTGGTCCTCTAAAATCTCTAAAATCTCTGAAGGACATGTTTGTTGAGTTTAGGTTACGGTGTAAGGAAACTGCTCAAGTAGCGTGAACCCTGTAGAAAACTTTATTCATGAGTCTGCCACTTGAGGTTGGCGTAAACCGAGGGAGCAGGTAGTAAGGCGTTACGGTCTAAATCTTCATTCATCTGCGTATAGCGGGTGCCCTTTGGCCGGACTCTGGTTTTAAAAGTACTTCGGCCGCATTGAATAGTGCGCCACAGGTCACAGTCACCCATTGAGAAATCGGAGTATGCGGTTTTCAGAGTAGACCTTTTCTAACCTGTGCCTCCTCAGGAGAAAGCGGAAGCACTGCTTCCATGAATATGAAAATGCTAGTCGCCTGGACTAAATCCCCCTACTAGCTTCACACTCCCATCGAAGAGGAAAATAGGACTTTGTCCCAGGACGGCCTCGCCGTGTGACTACTCATTGTATAGTGTCGCTGCTCTTAAACTGACTGCTCCCCTTTGACCTTTCTGGCATGGTTCAACCCTCTGGAACAAAGTTCCAGTTAGTGTGGCCCGCGGGACCATTGCAGCACTCGACCCAGAGCATGGGCACGTGTAGGCCAAATCAGATGTGGAAACCGAACATACAAGTGGGATTCGGTTGGTAGTTCAGTTTGTAGAGCACTTGCTCAGTGAGCGGAAGATCGAGAGTTCGACTCACGTCCCATACGAATATTTGTGCCCTTTGCTGACGACATGGAGTAAACGGGATAGGAGATAAATGAAAACTCCCCCAGCAAATGATCTGTGGATGGGTAAACACGACTTATGTCTGGCATTTCTAAAGTCTTCTGTCTCCTGACAGGAAATTGGGAGAATGACCGGCCGAATGACTTGGTTTAAAAAAGTTGAAAAAATGACTGCACTAAAGGTGGATTACTTGAAGGCAGTTGCAGATTACTCACCACACATCCGATTGTATGGTAAAATAGGCGGACGCCAAAGCCTCAGGTGACATCCAACGAATCGGAAGTCGAGCTCGACCACGTTTGCGATAATAGTGATTCCCATCTAAAAATCGTGCGAGACCGAAATCTAAATCGGGTGGATGAATTTAAAAAAAAACATGAAAAGCATTACATCGTAAGGGTGAGATCACTATAATGGAATGAAAGCAGACAGGCACGAGGATCAATGTGACTTATGACTAATGATATGTGTTTTATCTAATAGACATTTCGTGATTCTCCTCCGGTAGATGAGATATGTTGCATGTGCAAATTTCCTCAGGATATTGAATGTGATACTTGGCTGTCAAGTGGAGGTGGCGCATAAGAAGACTGGCTCTCGCGATACGTCATGGAGATAGCAGTCATTGGAGGGAAAATGCATAGATGTGTGTGAATGTAGAGATCATCAATCTACATATACACTTGACAGCTGTACCGAACAAATGAAGAACGGCATACGAGGTTTTGGCTGTCCACAAATATGTATGGATGTATTCAATACTGGCGGCCAAGATAATCAATAATGATGGTCACCTGACACGCGTTATGAACGTGGTTCAACAAATGTTTAGTATGGTGAAAAAACTGGATGTTTACATTTAAACGCCACCTTTACACACAGTGATCTGTTACAGGTGCATACCAAATGAACTGAAAGTGAGGAGGCTGGAAGTTCGAAAGTGATAGTAGGTAGTGATTCAACATATTGCGCGGGGCAGTCCTTCCAATACATATGGTATCTACGTTACGCAGCACAAATTGAGATGTCACCGTGAAATGTATTAGGATTATGAGTTAGCTGTCACATAAAAATACGAATACAGTCGTTACATGTCGTCAACCGTCATTGTCCCATCTCATTCAATTAAATGGCGCCCATCGTAGACTGGTATACCAGGACATAGGATTTTCAAACGCGATTTCAACCACCATGAATTCCCCCTACCTTTCACCTTCCGTGTCACTAACGAACCCAGCCACCTGACCCATCCGGATAACACATAGTACTATCACGGAACATGAATATACGTCATTATTGATTCCATAGGATACGATCTTTTGTCCCATTCGGTTATTTGCTTCATGCGCACGCAAGTCACCGAGTGGATCGGGGGACTATTTCAAATTCAGGGCATTGAGTGGACACGCCTGATCCTTGTATGCAAACCGATGAACTTTTTATGTTCACCATAGCTGTTATCTGGATATGTCCGCCCCCATCACATAAAGTTCCTTTCACAACACCGAAATAAGGTCTGTTCGAAACTTCATTCAGATTGAGTGACAGAACAATTTCGTTGCACCGCATCCAGTGGTGGTTCTAGCATCATACCTGTAGCCAACGGCTACAGGATAATCAGGATTCGAGTTCTATGTCTCAAATCACCCATATTAAGCGTTGCTTTGTTCATATTGACGATCACAACGGGAAACTGCTATCCTTACCATAAAAACACCACTGGTTAAGTTCGCCAGCATCTCAGAAGCTGGAAATCGTCTGCGTATCTATTCAGTACACGCAATATACGGTTGTAATTCTTGCACAGTAGAAATGAAATCGATCGTTTGGGCAGTTAACGGCTACCTTGAATGTGTTTTGAAACGCGCCGAGTAAAAGGAGGATGTAACAAGTTAGGAAAAATGATGACCCTGATAGCGTTTCGCATGTTACATTATGAAAAGTAGACTAACCGGCGATTTTTACGGTCAGCGAATCATTCACCAAACAATTGCGAGCTGCCAGATCTCGATGTATCAGCTGCAAACTGGATAAATAAGCCATTCCACCGGCAATCTGCGTGGCCCAGTTTACTGCGAGACTTGGTTTGACTGAACCCTGAGCGTAGTCCTCGTCCGATAAACGCTGGCGCAGAAAGGTTGCAAGGTCACCCAAGGACATGAGCTCCATTACCAGTGCAGGTGGTTTGTCGTGAGATGACTGGAGGATGTCAGGCGTGGTGCATGAAATAAATGTAAAGTAGAAAGAGTATTATTAAGTGGGAGATGAGGTAAACGCTTGAAAAGTATTCGGGGTAGGAATGGTCTGTTTAGTGTGTACCTATGACCTTGAGGGCGTACGAGTGATCACCTGATTTCACTTCAGGTAAATTCCTATGCAGTAATAGGGAAAACCAGCAAGAGAAATTCCACCAAGGCTCTCCCTTACCGGACGGTCATGTTCCGGTGGCTAATTTGGGGCTATAGACAGTTGGGAGTGACGGATTGTGGTCTGCGACGTTAGGCAGTGGAACGGAGATTGAAAGACACCGTTCGGTGCTCGCAGCTGACCGTGCTCTGAAGTAGCAGTGATTCGGAATATTGCCAAAGGCGACTTGTTATCCTCCAGGAGAAAGCCACCACGAAATAAGGTAAGTAGGTAGTTCACGTGATATCAGCTCACTTAAACACTCTACGAGGAAAAACCTTCGAAATTCCACGGGAGGTTAATTTACAGGAACGGATGCGTCTAGATTGGATGAGGCGGTATCTTCATTGAGTGTAGGTATTGAAAAACATTAGGCAACGTACTCCATGGACTGGAATATCCTCAAATTTTCGCTTTCAATGCGGAAAAATGATATGGTAGCATAGTCTCTTATGACGGCCGAGGGGAACCATAGACGGTTGAACGTGGTATCCAGGAAAAGGTAGAAACCGAAACAATGAAGAACGCTGAGTACAAAAGGATACAGAAAACTCACCTGATGAACCAAGATCCCAAGCATCTGAACGATATGATCGTTGGAGAAATTCTTCATGAAAGCTGCCTCATTCATAAACTCGCGAATGTCGTAGGGGGAAGAACTGGATTTGGTCGTCTGCGTTGGATGCAGAAAACAACTTATGCAAAGGAGGGTGCGTAAAAAAATTGATGACGTCGAATTTTAAAGTGTGTGAGGCCTTTGCATCGACATACTCCGTAATAGTATTTAGCGATGATGAATACCCGTGAACCATACCCAAGAGGTGATCTCGGCCGAACGAATATTCCAAAAAGCAACTAAATGCTCAGACCACATGAAGGGAAATGGAACCTATTCGGTGATTTGCAAAAGTGATCTGAACGCCAGTGACATTATCCTAGATTAGTACGCTCTGAGTGAAAATGAGTGAATATAAGGAATTCCGGAGGAAAATATTCAACAGATTTGTAGTCGCGGGAAGAACTACCAACTATATAGGGGGAACATTCCTCCCTGATCTCCTAAACCTAAATTAATCTGATAGATGAAATAACAGGACGGAAAATGTCGGCAAGTCTGAACCTACTACTATTGTCCCACTTCAATCACTCTCAGTTTAGCCAAAGTGCTGGAACCCATCCTGGTCAAACAGTTTCTACGTCACCTCGATATCGTCCGATAAAACGTGAAATGGCTGCTTCGACGGTGACGGAAATAGTAGGCGGTGTTTTCAGGGATGTTGGGGAGAACATGCAAAGTTCTCGGGGGAAAGGATGGTGTACAATAATAGAAATTGAACAGCTGTAGAGCATGAAAACTAGGGGAAACGAAACAGTTACGTTGAGGTTCACTTCCAGGGATCCCATTGGATGTATATATCAACCATCAGCGGATAAAAAATGTTGAACTAACGAGTTGAAACAGATGAAGCACACTTTAGAGGCAAATTCTGACCTTTCTGAATGTCATTCATCATCCTCATCATTGTCAGCTGTAAGAACCGCGTACTCGTCGTACACTGGTTGTAGCTGCCACAGTTTCGTTCACCGATGATTTGGGGGAGGGGGTAGGTAGCTGCACATTGCAGGCGCGAGCTGGTAAGTTGGTGCATAAATCCAGCACTGTCAGTGGGCTGTCAAGTG